CCCTCCCAACACTTTTTGAGGAGCTGCAAATCGCCTGATTTGTGCTCCATCCGTACTCTTCCCCTTCCCTCCCAGAGTTGGAATGCCACAGGTTCCCCACCACTGATTTAAACCAATGTAGTGATATTGGTATAACCCCCTGTGTCATCATTCTTTCTAGTACAAGACTGCTGTTTTTCATGTAGCTTGTTGCTTGGGATCCAAAAGTGAAAAGATAAATCTTCTGTCTGAATAAAAGTGTTGGGGAGGGCGCTTATCAGTCGTTTGAAGAAGTGGGCTGTGCCCATGAAAACTCATGATACCATCTACATGTTTTGTTAGTCTATAAAGTGCTACCAGACCATTTATTGTGTTTAAGTGTATCCTGTACAGACTAGCTCGGCTGCCCCCTGAAGTTTCTATCAGTATAGTGTTAGCGGATAAAACTACCTCATGGAGACAAGACCCTAAGATCTATAGGGTATGTTTACACTGCAGATAAACACGCATAGCTGACTTGTCAGCTGATTCAGGCATTTACAACTGAGGTTTAGATGCCTGGGCTTGAACATCTACGCAGCAGTTTTGTAGTCCTGTAGTCCAAGTCAGCTGACATAAGCCAGCAATGTGTAGACATATCTGTAGAGGCCTCTAGCCTGGTTTAGATCTTATCTAACATGTTGGAGACACTGCGAGTGAATACCTCTTAATTTGTGATAGATACGTTAAAGGTACTGTAGAACTTCAGAGTTACGAACATTGGAGTTACGAACTGACCAGTCTACTACACACCTCATTTGGAACAGGAAATATGCAGTCAGTCACCAACAGAACTAAAAGGGGGAAAAGCAGCAAATATAGTAGAGTACTATGTTTAAAGAAAGGGAAAGCATTTTTTCTTCTGCATAGTCAAGTTCAAAGTCGCGTTAAGTCAATATTCAGTTGTAAATGTTTGAAATAACCATAACATTTTTTTCAAAATTATGACATTTTCAGTTACAAACAGTCTGTCTTCCTGAGGTGGTGTTAACTCATTTTACTGTAACAGCTATTAAAATCAGAACATAGCATAGCTCCAAGGGAGTCTCTTTGGTCATCTGTGTCCAGAGCTGCTTCACATAATCTTTTGTTGTTGTTACTGTTATTTGACTGTTTACCTGATATATCTCTCCTAATCTCAGTGAACAATGCCATTGAATGAAAATTAAAATCTGTATTTCTCCTAGCACTCTTACTTTTGAAAGTTAAAATATCTAGCTTCTATGTCAGATGCAGTGCAGCAAAATAAAATAAACTTTACCTAGTACTTCCTGCACAGTCAAAAAATGACACAGCAGGGAACGACACAACAGCTAGGGGAGTGAGGGACAGAAGAGACATTTCATGGATCAGTTTAGGATAGTGGTGGGCAACCTGTGGTCCATTGGGGTCTATGTGTGGTCCACAAGTCATTTTGTTTACCACTGCCCTTGCATTCAGTTGTCAGATTCCACTGGTTTTCGTCTGCGTAGTTTTTCCTACCAGTATTACAAAAGTACCACACACTTAAAACCAGGGTACAGATGTGTGATGTTTGCCCACTAAGTTATGATAGTTGCGTGCTTTCTCTGCATCCAATCAAAGTGTTCCTATGGTTCATTCATCACACCCTGCAACTTCTAAGTATATAAGCACAGTTTGCAAAACTACCCTATCCTGGGAGACCATCTTGATTGCGAAAATCTTGCGCCCACAGAGATAGATGGCCACTTGTGTGGCCATTCGCTAGTCATGTCTGAGCAGCTCAGGCAGCCCCTGGGTCAGTCACTGGAGCATTCCCAGGATACGAAGCCCTATCCTCCCAGCATGGGTATTTTTACAGTAGGCCCCATTCCCCCAGCATGACTATGGGTTAGTCATGGGTATTTTTAGTAAAAGTCATGGATAGGGATGTTAAATTTTGATTTCACTAATTGAATAGTCGATGCAATTTGCATTGACTATTCAATTAGTTGATAAGGGTGCTTCCGCCTTTGAAGTGTAGCAACACTTCAAAGGCGGAAGTGCTGCGGGGAGCACGGGGCCAGCAGGGGACTCCCCCGATGACCCTGGGCTCCACACAGTGCTGCCACTTGAAAATGCCTTAGAGAGCCCGGCATCAGGTTCCACGTGGCGTGCCGTGTGGAGCCTGGGGTCAGCATGGGTATCCTCAGCTGACCCCAGGCTCCATGCTGCACTGCCGCTTTGAAATGCCACTTGTAACCCGGGCTCCCAGCTGGCCCTGGCCTGCACGTGGCATTTCAAAGCGGCAGCACTGCGTGGAGCCCAGGGTCTGGCCTCAGGCTCTATGTGGCACTGCTGCTTTGAAGAACCTCCTCTTCTCTTCCTCCCCGCCCCTCCAACTACCTCTTTCTGATAGAGGCAGCAAGGAGGGAGAAGCGACTAGTCATTCACATCCCTAGTCATGGAGAGGTTCTGGGAATTAAGCAGGCCTGTGCCCTGTCCATGATTGTATTATACCCTTGACTAAATCTTGGGAGTGCTTACGGGGAGGCCAGCGGGTGCTGGGTGGGGCAGTCTGGAGGGCACTGTGGAAACTGGGGGTTGGGTTGAGGGCGCAGGTGCTGATGGATATCTCAGGTGCTTGGGCAGGGTGATCTGGGGTGCACTGCTGAGGTGGGGATTGCTGGTGCTGGCAGGTTCCCTTCCTGGTTTTTCTAAAGCAGCAGCATCTATGCATTGGCAGGTCTACAGCTCCCATTGACAGGAACTGCAGTCAGTGAGAGCAGTGGGGGTGGAGGCAATGCATGGAGCTAGGAGCTATGGGGAAGGAGGGACATGTTGCCACTTTAAGGAAGCCCCACCACCCAGATCTCTCACTCTCTCCTGTCCTCCAATACCCAGCCCTGAGACCCCACCGAAACACCTTTCCTGCTGCTGGGGGGATGAGTCCCAGTGATCTGGGTTGGGATGTAATAGTGTAGTTGATTAACCAATAAGCAATGCCATAGACTACATGCTATCCTTCTAACCCCCTCTCTTCTCTCCCCCTCCCCTCCCCCCAGTAAATTTTTTTAGGCTGGCCAGCAGCCTGGCTCAGTCCTGGCTTATGCCAGGTCTGGGACCTAACCCCGCTGCAGCTCTGTATTTAAAGTGTATTGGGAATCGGACAACAGGCAGCCAGTTTACAGGTGTGAAATTAAAAAAAAACAACAATAATCTCTTTGCATATTAAGAGTGTCATTATATATGATCATGTATGAGACTTGGAATAGCATCAACAACTAGAGGAAAAGTTTGAGACTGCTGTAGTGGTGGGCCAGTGGTTTCTACTGGCTGTGTATATATAGCAATTGTATATCCTTCTTCCCAGTAGAGAATATTTGCTTTCCTTGCAGGAAAGGGTTACACCTGTGCTTCTGACTGACACATGGTTCTTTTCTCAGTGGTGTTGGTAGGAGCATAATGAAATTCGGGAAGTCCTGATTGGAATTGTATTGCTTTGGATGGACAGTAGGGAAGGAGCTTTATATTCTGAACAGATGGTGGTTCCTTCTAGGGGCCCAAGCCCCTGGCCGCAGGAGGAGACTTCACATGCTCCCATCATGCCCAGGTCAATCAGGGCCTGGGGTGGGGAAGGAGGGCACAGGAAGTCTCTTGCTCCCTGCCCACACCCTGCAAGGGGGCGCCATGCTTAGATTCAACCACCAGCTGAGCAACAGCTAGCGATTGACTCTAAGCACCGCGTACCCCTTGCTGGGTGAGAGAAGACTTTGCGCTCTCCCCCTTCCTCCAGGTCTTGATTGGCCTGGGGGCAGGGGAGCGGCAGGACATCTGTGAGCCAGATGAATCCACTTGGTGGGCCAAATCCGGCCCATGGACCCTTTTGCTCACCCCTGGACTAGGCACACAGAGGGAAAGCAGCGAATGGCTGGCCTGCTTGTGTCTATCAGCTTGCTCTTTCTGATGTGAGAGAGAGAGAGGGAAGCAGTATATAATACTACTTTGGTGAAGCTGAGTGGTTTGGTGTGTGGCTTTTTTTTTTTTTTTTCCATAACTGCCCTGAGTTGAATGAAGATGCAGCATGAGTAGTCTCCCGGGGAGTACCGTATCCATCCCTCTGCAACCAGAGAATTGCTTTGTTGTGCAGCCTTTTGTGGGGGGAGGGAATGAATGTGAAAGGAAGGTGGGAAGATTCTGGAAGCCTCCTGGAAAGAGAGGCTGAAAGAGTGGGTGGGGTGTGGCGGTAAACAATGGTAAATTAGCATCTCATGTAATAACTCTTATATTGAATATGCAGAAGGTGCTCACATTAAAGAATGATGGACTGAGATATAAAACTTGAAAATAGATGACTTTATACTGCTCTGTACCCATAAATGGTACCCTCGTGTGCCATCTTATCAGTTCAAAATGTTTTTTAAATCCCATTTTTGTAAGCACCTTCAAATACACACTGAACACTTTCTAAACAATCCTTTACAGACATTTTTTCTCAATTTTCACTGCTTTCTGTTGATTAAGTATTGTTTCATCGAGGGGAGATCCTGCTATACAGGGGAGAGCAAGTAAACTGATTATCCACAAAACACTCTCAAATACAAAGCAAACGATCTGAAAAATGAAACTAAAATAGCAAAGAAAATTTACTATTTTATGGTTTATTCTACTTTAGATTAGAGACTGAGAATGTATTCACTTAATTGTACCTTTCATGAGAGGATTTTGAAGCAATTTCCAGGATGAAGTTCCATAATATACATGAGATAAATAAATTGTACCCAATTTTCAGATGAAGTGGAGGCAGTGAAGTGATTACCTAAAGTCACAAGCAAAACTTTAGCAGAACAATGCATAAAATTTGGGAGTCCTGACTCCCAGTTCCCCATTTTAACTCCTAGTCTTGTCATCATTAAACCATTAAAAGAAAAATGTTGCTGAAAAAATTGTAAGATGTTTATAAAACTTCATCAGAAATGCTAATGGTACCCTTTCTTTGCAGTAAGACTGAATTTTGTTTTCATTTTGTCTTTAGCTGCTTTTCCTCATCGATTGAATCTATTTTACCTGGCCAATGATGTCATACAGAACTGTAAAAGAAAAAATGCAATTGTATTTCGGGATACATTTGCAGAAGTGCTTCCTGAAGCAGCTGCTTTGGTTAAGTAAGTGATGTTTTTGCTTATGGGTTAGCTTAAAATGTGAATTTTCATTGTGATTTCCGTAGCAGATCAAGCTATATGGAAATTTTAGCAATATTTCAAAGGTATCTTCATATCTACTCAATACCATAAATTGTGCCACTTTTTAAAAAAATTGATATAGTACAAAGATTATTAATGCACACATCCTTGTATTTATATTTGCAAAGAACAGAACCTCTTGCCTTAGAACATTTGTTTTTATTGATTTAAAAAAAAAAACTTCTGCTGGAGGAGACATAAACACCATTATACCAGTTGAGAATTTTGTTGGATGGGAATGGAAGTGAGTGAAGTATGAAATGTTTTAATTATATGAAGTGTCTGACTAGAAACATGATAAAGTAAAACATGAACAAATTATCTGTAAAAAGCACCTAATAGTCTATGCATACTATGCAAATAAGGTGTAATTTGAGGGCTTTTTTTGTCAAGGTTTCTTTTTTTCTACTCCCTTCTTTGTTTCAAAGAACATATTTTATAAAAACAAGTGAAGGAAGATAGAGGGATTTGGTTTTTAGTCATATTAATATCACTTTCTCTTACTTTGCCTACCATCTTCTTGAGTTGTGCTGTCATCCTGCTCTTTAACTCCTTATTTTTAATCTTAATCTGTATATGCTACTGTACTTAGTGTTCTTAAGGACTTAAAAGTCTTTCATAGAATCATAGAAATGCATCTTTGGAGTATCTGCAAAAATAACAAGGAATCCTGTGACACCTTAGATTAATATATCTATTATAGCATAAACTTTTGTGAGTAAACCCTACTTCATCAGGTGAATTGGAGTGGAAATTACAGATGCAGGAGTGTGTATGCATAAGAAAGAAGATGCTTGTATTAATGAAGCTTATATTCACATTTCCACACCAAATGCTATGAATGAGCCACTTCTACCTTGATTTGATTAACTTCATTAGCACAAGCAAGTGCCTTCCTCATTTCTACAGACAGGTAAAGAGAGAAAGCGAGGAAGCGACTAGAATGCCGAAATTATACCAGATATCTGTCACATCAGATGTCTGTTACAGAGGCAAGACTAGAACTTGACCTCTGTGCTGCCAGTTACTCAGGGTTGAGTTAGGTATAGGATATGTCTATACTATAGATCGGGTCAGCAACCTTTCCAAACCAAAGAGCCAAACTACATCAAAATTCAGAACAAGTGGTCAACAAAGAGCCGTATAAGAATGCTCATGTGCATTACTGAAAATATGCAACTTAATATTATTGATAATTGATATGATTAATAGCATAAATGAAACATTGTACTCAAACTTTATTTAATGGGACTTCTGCTGCTGTATCTTTTCGCATATTTCTTTGATGTTTATATCATAACTGGCAAAATCCAGCTTCATGCATGCATTCAGGCTGTCTTCTGTCAATCTTATGGCAGAGACTGGGAAGGTGGGGGTGCAGGAGTTTGGGTTGGAGTAGATAAGTGGCTTAGGGCAGAGGATTTGGGTATATGATAGACTTGGCGCACAAGATAGTGTGTGGGGGGGTGTAGGAGTGTTTATGGCAGCAGACTGGGGGTTGTGGGGTGGCTTAGGGCAGTGGAGGGTCAGGTATATGATGGACTCAGGGTTGGTGTGTGGAGGGGTGCAAGAGTGTTATGACACTGTGACCAGATGGGGACTGGACCCTAATTGGGGGCTTGTTGGCCAGGCTTCATTTTTAAATAAAGTAAAATATTATGTCCAACACACAAAGGTTTAAACATTGTCTTTATTAATGGCAGGAGTGGGGAGCCTTTTTTGGGTTGGGAACCACACAAATGAGAAGCTGGGAGGAAAAAAAAAAACTGAACTCCAACTCTCACTGATGTGGCCCCCAACTGAAACACCTCACTCCCCTGGTGTTCCAGCCCCATGATGGAAGGAAGAGACAGGGAGGACTGAGGTTCAAGGCCTCAGGCCAGATTTGCTCTTCTGGGGTTCCAGTGTTTGTGGGTTTTGGGTCCTCCCCTCCCCAGGCTCTGGGGTGGAGTAATAAATGAGGAGTTAAGTGTGCGGGACAGGGCTGCTAGTGAATGGGATGGGGATAGGGATGCAGGATCTGGGCGGGAGGTGAGGTGTGGGTGGGAGGGTGCAGGAACAGGCTGGATGGAAGTAGGGTGTCTGGTCAGGGGGAGTGGGCCAGGGGCAGGAGCAGGTTTGGGGCAGGCTATCTGGCCAGGGGACAGGGAGCAGGAGTGGACTGGGGGGCAGGGTATCTGACTGGGGGGCAGGAGCAAGCTGAGAGCAGGCTAGCTGGCTGGAGGGGGTGAGTGTGGGGTCTGGGCATGAGGGTTGGGGGGCCACTTATTTGCTTTCACACCACATGTAGCATGGCCTCCTGCTACTCCCATGGGCCAGGCAGGATTTTCAGGGGAAGCCTGCAGGACGTGTTTCCCTGGGGAAAGAAAATGGCAGTGCACATGGAGCCATTTTTGGTTCCTGGTTCTCCATAGGCTGGGGGGAAGGAAAAGGCTGGTGCATGGAGCCATTTTGTTCCCTGCATGCTGGATCCAGCGTGGAGACCCAGGGCTTTTTACCCCCGTTCCCCTCCCCCCTGTATGAAGCCGATACTAGCATTCCAGTTTTGCTGGGGGGCTGTAAGGCTGTAGCGCCAGTGTTGGCTCCCTGCTGAGGGGGCTGAGTTGGGTCTCCAGAAGAGCCATATCTGGCTCCCTAGTGAGTCATATTTGGCTTGGGAGCCATAGGTTGCTGACTCCTGCTGTAGGTGCTAGACTGGTGCAGCAGCACCATATTGGAGAGCCTTGCTACTGCAACAAAGGGGGTTTTTCCATCACTGTATTGAATCCAGAGGTGGGGAGCCGTTTTTGGGTTGGGGGCCGCTAATCCACATCAAACTCAGTCTGGGGCTGCACAGAAGTGAGGGGGGGGAACACCCTCACTGACAGACGCAGAAAGATACCTCCCGCGTTCCCTTTGCACACCAGAGCCAAAGGGACCTGGGTTAGTAGATTTTGTGGGCCCACCTAGGCTCTAGGATATGGCCAAAAATGAGTGATTGTTGCCAACTCTTGGAGGCAGAGTTAAAATTGCATTGCAGGGTTAGCATACCTTAACTTTTTATATTCTGGGTTTTAGAGGTTTAAGTTTACCAACTTGCCTCTCTTTGGAAGGTTATGAGGTAAGGATGTTAAGTGGTGGGTAATTGGCTAATCATGTGGTCGATACAATTTGTATCGACTACACAATTAGTCGATAAGGGAAGGCGCTCTGTCCTAGCTTTCGCTGTTCCAGGAGTTACCTCTGCTGTGGCTCTGTAGTTGAAACGTAGTAGGAGCCAGGTGGCTCTTATACATTTAAAATGCAGAGCTGCACAGGTTCTGGACTGGCATGAGCAAGGCCAGCTCAGTCCTAGCTCAGTCCCAGCTTGTGCCGGGTCTAGCAGCCCCTGTCCACAAGGGATCCCAGTTGGGGCAGGGGCTGCTTTGCAGCAGCCTCCCCTACCCCCTGCCTTCCCCTGCTGCTACCTCTGGCTACAGTGGGTAGTGGGGCAGGTTGCACCATGGAAATGGTACTGGGGGAACCGGCTATTAAGCCATTCTCCCCCTCCCCCCAAGCACTGGCTCCTGATACAGAGGAAGCAAGGGGGGTGACTACCCAATAAGCTTATGCTTATCAGGTAGTTGAGTACTTGCTTACATCCCTAATATGAGGCACCAACGGTTAACTTAATTCTTCATAAACTGCAGTTTTGCCTATGTAAGTTTAATATTGATGGTGCCTGCCAATGATGGAAATGTGTGTGTCTGGGCTGGTAAAATCCCAGCTAAAAAGTTAAGTGGCTAAATGGAATGTTATAAACGTTCCATTTTAACTGGTTAACCTGGATGCTCCAGGTTAGAGGCTGCTCCAGACCAGCCTGGCTGGAGCAGTCTGCAGCGTGGTGCAATGGGCCCAGCCGGGATGGAGCAGTGCGAGCTGCTCCAGGCTGGCTGGGCTGCTGGTTAACCAGCTACCAGTAATCCTTGCCCAGTAATAGTGAGGCTAACTGGGTTACCCGTTAACATCGCTAATACAAACTCTACTTTCCCACTTATACCACAAGATTGACTAGTGGTATTTTAATCATCTTTCAAAAAAGTCCACTCCAGGCAGCTGAGTGAGTAAAACTTTCAACAGGCAGATCTACCTGACTACCGGTTTAAATGGGTAATGGAAAAGCTGCTGCCTCTGATACATGGTTAGCCATGTATATGCATTTTAACTTGGGATGTGAACATGTACATGGTTAACTGATGAGTCTGTGCTCATGGATTAACATGCACGGTTACACACAGGGCACCCCCCCTTCCTCCATCTGATGCAGAGGCAATAGTGTGGGGGTGGGAGGTCGAGAGCCCATACGCATGGGGATCTGGCTTAAAAGCTGCCTCCCCTCCCAAGTGTAAATTTTCAGCAGTTATATTTATGTAAATAAACGCATTTTAATAGTCCTAATTTTAACACCCCTAGAAAACACTACTCACTCCTTTCATCCTCTCCCAATGCTGTATGTCAGGGTAACTTGGTTTGTCCACTCTTTAACTTACCTATCTTGGGGTATTTCTATACTTCAGTGAAAGGCCTGCTGCTGACTTGAGTCAGCTGCCTTGAAATTGTGGGACTTGGGTCGTGGGTCTGAAAATTGCAGTGAGATTCTTAGGCTGGAGGCTGGGCTCTGAGACACTATGAGGAGGGAAAGTCGCAATCCAGGTTTCAGCCTATGACTGAGCATTTACATTGCTGCACCCCAAGGACTGTAAGCCTAAGGGTGCTTACATCACTCAGTTGATGTGTGCACTGAGACATGCTATAGGTTTTTTTTATTATGGTCTAGATGTACTTTTGGGGTATGTGTACACAGCAAAGAAAAACCTGCAGCTGGCGTGTGCCACTGATTTGAGCTATGGGGCCGTTTCAGTACTGTGTAAACTTCTGGGCTTGGTCTAGAGCAGGGCTACTCA